ACACACACACACACACACGTGTGTGTGTGTGTGTGTTTTGTTTTGTATTTTCGGGAAAGTCCACTTACATCTCTCGGGTCAGCTTGCCACATAGGGCAAACCTTTTTGACCGAAAATCGACTTTTGAAGCCACCAACCTCCCGCGATCGACCCGATCGCGCACATGCAAGCATATACGCAAGCACGCGCACACACATGCATGCGGGCAACCATGCACACGCGTGCATGCACGCACGCCACAATGAGCAACAACCGGAACGGCCCCTCCAATGAACGAAACCAATACACACAGACACCCCCTGCCCATTTCCTCCTCCCACCTCTCGCGGTTTACTTGGGACCAGTGAGCTGGCTCTCGGTCAATCGCGATCAACGTATTAGGCACCCCTGCCTTAACATCAGAGGTAATTTGCTGACTAGCTTAGCGCCATTGTTTGCGCATGAGCGGTCATTCACTTGGCATCTGACTGCTTGCCCTGAATGTCAATCAAGTAACGGGATTGATGATAGGCTGACATCGTGAAATCTGCTGTACTCATTTTCGACGCTTGTCATCTGAAACCCCGGGAGACGCATTGAACCGGCCAAAGAGCCGCATGCGGCTTGTGAGCTGCGGGTTGGCCACCCATGATCTAGAGCCTTCACAACCGCTGCAGCTGTAACAAAGTGCTTTACAGAACATTTAAAATACTATGTCCAAGAAATCAGAATATTGATCCATATGTAGCTCCCTCAGGATGTAGCATGAAACACGACACGAAGTCCATAAAAATACAGGGTTTATTACTTGGCATAAATACAAATGGCATTACAAAACAAGAAATGAAAGACAAAAGTTATGAAGACAATTGATTCAACAAAAAGACACAAACCCTGTGGGCTCACATCCACAAGGGTCTATATTATCCATAGAAGTCTTGCGTGTCTCCTTCGTTTAGTCAGCACTCAGTGATGCTTTTGGTATTATCTTCGTTTCATAATGGCTGCGCAGAGCTCACAGAGTAGCTGTCTGTCTGTTTGAGTGTGTGTTGGCGAATGCACATGTCAGTTAATTTTGGGCAGAACGCTTTTACATTACAATTGGTTCCTGCTAATAATCACCACTAGATGGCAGAGGAACACAAACAGGGAAACAACTCAATGGGGAATAGAAAGAGACTGTAACTAACACCATATATAAGGCGCATCGGATTATAGGGCGCATTGTCTGCTTTTGGGAAAATGGAATGCTTTTAGGTGCGCCTTATCGTGCGGAAAATACAGTAATAATCGTTTGAATTACATTAACAGAGAGCTACCAACAATTTTGTCCATGGGTGTATGTTCCTCCTTCATCGGCTGTCAAATTATTACCATCGCATGAGATGGACACTTGTATCACCTCGCTGACGTCCCATAATCTCTGTCCACTTTGGATGGATTTATTTAGCTTTGATAATCCATGCAGTCACCAGAGGGTTAAACAGTTTCTGCGGGCAAATGGAGCCTTGCAGCCTTCAGTTTGAACTGAAAGGATCACGTTTTCTTTCAAATTAGAGTAACGGTCTGAAATAATAGATTTTAGTCCCAGACTGGTTTTCTTCTTTTGTGCTGGCACTTGTCTAAGTTACTAATTGTAATTCAATATAGATGTTGTGTGATGATTTCCTTTGTTGTTGTTGGTATTGTTTTTGGGTACTGAGCTGCATAATTGTCCAGTTAAGTCCTCAGACTCATTTAAATATAATTAGTACCACAGTTCTCTAATTATTTGGGTGATGTTGTGTTTAGTCAATTTTGTAGACACATTTGGTGAGTTGAAACCATTACCGTTCAAAATGTGTACTTTTGTTTTTATGATTTTGTGTTCTTAAATGCTACACTAGTTTGACACGTAGCAACTGCACTGTGCAATATTCAACATTATGAGGACTGGGAAAATTCTAATTGTTTGGGTGTCACATGTCATGTGTGTGATTCTTTTCCCCATCTAGTTCTTCATTTTAGTGTGACCAGGCCTTATTATGTACTTAGTCACAAAAAGCGGGTTCCTTCTTGGTGACTTATTGGTGAGTGTCAAATTATAAATTGATGTCAAAGTTAACTTTGAAATTAAAAAAAAAGATCTTTTGCTTGACTTGCTCTGTGTTTTGTCTTTGATTCCAAACGTCTGTCTGTCAAGCTACACCACATTTCAGATAATTATGCAAAAAAGTGAATGTTTTTAAACCTGCCAATGTATAACAGCATTGATTTCTGATTATTATTCAATAAAAACGTTTTTGGTAAAATGCACTGTTCCAAATTATGTACAGCAGTGTTTAAAGACATTATATAGACAGTAAAGAACTAAAAATAGGCATTTGTTGAAATTGCTGAAATCAAAATTTATTTGATAGCAGCTTTGTAAGTTTTGCAACTTGACACTTTTAGGACAGTGTCTGCTTGAATTTTTTTCCAGGATGTAGACTTATCCTCCCAGAGCTGCTGTTTGGATTTGAAGTGCCTCCCAACCTCGTAGATGTTTTGCTTCTGCCTCCTAACCTCATCGACCTTTTGCTTAAGGACGAGTCAAAGGTTCCCAATAGGGTTGATCGTTAGGGGCGGATGCGGGCCACACACACACACACACACACACACACACTGATCTGGTTATCCTCACAAAGGTCGCGCGGCGTGCTCGAGCCCATGCCAGCTGTCTTCGGGCAGCAGGGGGTGGTACACCCTGAACTTGTTGCCAGCCAATCTCAGGGGATACAGACAAACAAGCATTAGCATTCACAATCATGCCCAAGGACAATTTAGAGTGTTCCGTTAACCTGCCATGCATGTTTTTGGAAAGTGGGAAGAAACCGGAGTACCCGGACAAAACCCACGCAGACACTGGGACAAGATGTAAACTCCACACAGGAAAGGCCGGAGCCGGAATCGAACCCTGCACCTCTGCACTGTGAGGCCGACACGCTAACCAGTCGACCATCAGGCCGCCCACAAAATGAATTGTTTTATTTGTTTTTTCACTGTTTTGTAAAGACGTCTTTTTTTTTTTTTTTTTAAATACTTGAAAATACTTTTATTGTGATACTTTGAGCCATTTTGAAGAAGCAAAAGGACCGGATGAGGCATCTTCACAAATCGCTTCACTTTGCTGCATCCAATCTGGCTGCGGCTTCAACATACTCAAGGTGGGCTCTATGTATATGTACTTTAAATATTGTTTTAGGAATATGTGCTTGTAGGAAAGACTTCAAGAATAGTGATTGAGAGCAGCAGCGCTGCTAGAATGCAGTAGCATTTAAAACAGGGAGCAAAGTAAGTACTGTCTGGAGGCAATTAATAACATTGGTCAATAGCAAATTTTATTCAGAGATGGTTTAAGAATGTGTTTGTAACCGGTGCTGTTCGACTGCATTGTTTAAGAAAATTGACGATGCGCAGCAGGATTTCTTGTGATGGCTGCGTTTAATCGTCTCAATCACAAAGCCTGACGAAAACAGCAGAAAACAATGTCCTCCTGTTAATTACAGTGATACACAAATGATGCAGCATGTCAATGTATTAAAATACTTGTTTGTCGAGCTCTCAAAAAACACAGTCAAAGGCGTGACTTCAACATATGAGTCACTGCCACATTAATTATTGAAGTCGGGGAACACACAAAAATGTTTGTTCCACCCTTTAATAATATACACTATATAGTATAGGAGTACACAGTAAAACAGCACGTCACTTATCATTTCGCAGATTTGGTGTAATTATAATACAGTACAGTAAGTTTTTTTACTGTCCCTGTTATATTGTGTTCATAAACGTATTTTTTATGCTGATTGAAAAAAAAAATTCCTAGCACATCGGGTATTTGAGATGTCTTAATTTTTTGGTTTTAAGTTTTATAAATGCTTGGACAGTACAGATTTTACTCTGCGTTGTAGTTTTAAACCATGACATTTCAGGGGAAAAAAATCCACCTTTTGCTGAGCCAAACCCTTAATTTATATATATTACTATACTGCATATGATATTATTGTTAGAATATTATTATTGTGAAAACCTGGTGTGCTATAAAAAAAAAAAAAAAGGATGGTAGATTCGATGTGGGGCCCCGCATACATTTCATGTACCCCACTCCCCCTTTTTAAACAGGTCTGGTGAATGGTCTGGTACTCGCAACACTGATGACTGTGACTCCCTCAGCAACAGGAGACTCTTCACCAGGGGGCGCTTGTTTCCTTC